ACGTACATCAATATTCTCCTCACGCGATATTTGGTTCGATAGTTTAGACTTTAAACATTCGACAATTTGCTACACCTATCCATTCTCGTAGAATCAGCTTGACCGCTGACATCTATTGTCATTTTATTCGCTAACATCCGGAAACATGTACGACATGCATTTCTGTCTATCGTGTCTCGAGTTCATACGGAAGATCGATTCGTTTTTTCTTTTTTCAGAGACACGAATCATCCATGTACATACGACGTGATTATTTGCATCCATACGATTGGAAACCGCATAAATCAGATCTTTCTGGAGAGTTAAATGCGAATAGTATTTTATTTTGTAAAACATTTGAAGAGTGCAGAGAAAGGATGTTGATTTAACTAATCAAACATCCGTTTCTAGAATAAAATTCTGATTGTGACGAAATTTTTTGGAAAAAAAAAGTTATCTACGCAGCTTTCCAGTCGTACTGATTCATCTAAATTGAACACTTAAATCTTTTGCTTAAAATTACGAGAAGTTCCGAAAAGTGTATTTACCTTGTATTTACCTTATTTTAAAGTCTAGCATAATAAATAATAAAATCATTTAAAATTTTATTTAATATTTTGAATCGTAAATTAAATAGCATCATGGAGAGCAAAATATGGTAATGATAAATTTTGCTTTTCATTTTTCCGTGAGAGACGTCGTCGGCAAATTCGTAGGTGGGATGAAAACCTTTTCGGAACTTTAGCCAAAATTACAATTACTTATCGTAAATACGCGTAACGTTGGACCGGTCTCAAGTGTAGACATCAATTTTTCGATAACGCGCGTGTAAAAATTCAGAAGCGATGCATCTTTTCTTTTACTTTAAACGTTAGAAACACTGAGATGTATAAAAATTTAACAGTCAAAGCCATTGCTGGTCTTCATGTATTTTTTTCTTAATATCCCGAAAACGAGATATTAATTCGATAATCATTTAAAAGACTCGATTTGTACGGATTCGTCCCTTTCGGCGCGAATCAGGCTGATAAATTTATAACTGTTGACGTATTTTGAGAAATGTGTGATTACCTATGCGTAGTTGTTTGAAAATTCCAGGCGCGAGTATGGAGGTTTTGATTTTGTTACGCGAAGAGCGAAATAGGACGTCGCAACATTCAGAGTTATACGTGACTCGAACTGGATATAGGGTGTCTTATTGAAAAAGAGTTCATAAGTTTTTAGATTTTTACTTAATACTTACCCAACTCTATGAAAAAGTCTATTACGTACTGAGATTACAATAATAGAAAAACGAAATGATCTTTAGAAATGTATCTGTAACTTGTTTGCATCACATGATAAAAAAAAAAAGATTAAAATTATTATCAGATTTATTCTTTATTTATGAAAGAACATTAAAAAAGAATTATAATAGATAAAAAAAGGATCGTGATAGATCAATTGTTACTCAAATAGGCACATAGGCAACTTTTATCATAAGCCGTCTCATTAGTTGAATTTACCAGACAAAATAGATCAGTGAGCGCTGAGTGATTATTTATTACGATTGGCTTCTACATTTAGCTCCAATGCAGAATTAAAGATGAGAGCCAATTATATGAATCCTTTGTAGACACACATATTTTTACTTTGTAAGCACTTTAAGTTATTTTTGTTCAGCCCCAATTCTTTTATTGTTCTAGACTTTCAAAAATCTAGAAAAATTCAGGATTATTTTTGCTACATTTTTCTACTACATTGCCAAACAGTTATTTAACTCAAATGTTAAAACCTTTATTCAATAAAAATTCAAATTTATGCAAACAAATTTGAGAGTGAAATTTCGCCTGGATAAAAAAAATCCAGCGTGCCTACAAAGAGTATATTAAATTAATAATTACTGAGCGCTCACTGCACTGTTTTTTGTTTGCTGACGCAAATCTTTAGATCTGTTCGCGTTACTTGAACTTTTTGCATTCAGCATCTTCGTTTTCTCTTTTTTTAACATTTGAATATACATTTATTTCATTTTAAGTGCAAAAATTTGCAAAGATTTCAAGCAACGCAACAGCAAGACCTATCGTTACTTTTGAAGACGTAAACGGGACTGAATCACAGAGACCGCAGTATACATTGAGAAAAAAATTGTTCATTTGTTTAAATTAATTTAGTTTATCTTTCTTTTTTTTATGAAGAATATATTTAAGTCAAACGTATTATATTTAACTTAAATTATATGTACATTCTGCAACAAAAGAAATAAAGACGGACTAAATTAATTTAATCAAATGAACAATATTTGTTTTCTTAGTACATGCTCATCATGGTCAGCATTAGCTTTGTATTGAGAGCATCCCGTAAGCTCCGGAAGAGGCAAGATCGAAACCCGTGGGACTTCTTGCCATAGCATTATCGCCGTTCAGACAGTTCTGCAATCTGCATGAGGTTGCTGCATCAGTGGAAATCTCGTCGAGAGCGTACTTCATTCTGCTCGTCTCTCTCTCTCTCTTTCTTTCATTCTCTCTATCTCTTAGTCTATTTGACGGAGACACATAAGAATGCAGACACCCTCTGGCCCTGCATTCTCATTTTTCTCCCCTGTAATCCGCGCTCCTTTATCGACGAAATGCGACGTAGGGCACATCAAGATGTTCTCCATAAGACAATTCGAGGAAACTTTTCTGACGGACAAGTATACGGTGAAAGAGGATAAAAAGAGAACGTTAGTATCGTGCTCGAACATCTCTCAATGTGGTCAAAGAGATGCCAAGGAGTGTGTCAAACGGATGCGCGTCCCTCAGCTATCGGAAAAGTATTTACGGAAAATCCTAGACTTGGTTCTCGTACGAGAGATTCTGATGTACCGTCATTCTTTCTCTTTCTGTCTGTTACAGATTTCGTTGGGATGTGAGCTATTAAAGAAAGGACAGGAAAGACACGTATTTTTGCAAAGGACGCAAAGTGATCTTAACAACTTTACTGAAACTGCGGAAATACTCTCTTCCTCCTGTCTTTTCCTCGTTTTACGCCAAATCTATTCGTAGAAACTTAAATCCGCGTCATAAAAAGTAATACTACGTTTGAAAAGTAATAATTGTAAATAAAACGTTGTTCGACACTCAAATTCTCTTTAAAGTGTCCTAGTATATATTTTTTCCGAAGATTTTTTCGCGCTGAACATGATGCCGTTGGCAGAATTTGTATTGCACGTCAAAATTTTGAGTAAATTGGGATGAAATGGACAAAAAATAACATTTTTGGCCATTTTCAACGGTTTTTATCGGCAAAATGAAACTCTACTACTATGGCATCTAAAACTATAACGCAACAGTTTTCAAATGACTTTTAGTTTATTGTTAGATAATTGTAGTTATTTTTATCAAGATATAGTTGTTCGAATATTAGACTTTCTGTATAATTACACAGTTTAAAACAAAAAAATCACTTTTTTCTCTCTTTAAAGTACCATAATACATTATTTCGAAGATTTTTTTGTGCTAAATATGATGCTGTCGTCAGGATTTGCATAACAAATCAATATTTTAAATAAATTGGACAGTAAATTGAGATGATTTTTTGCTTATTTCTCCTCAATATATAATACTAAAAATCCTGATATGCTATGCAAATTCTAATTATATTCAGTACGAAAAAATTTTCAGAGTATTATGAAACTTCAAAAAAAAAAGAAGTGACTGATTGTGAATTTTGTCGAACACACAATAATTATTGAACACACAAAATATAATTATTTGCTAATATAACTATAAATGTCTAATACAGCTATTTTAAGTAGAACATTTGAAACAGACTTTTTAATGAAAACGGATGTAAAATCACCTTGTTTAGCGAATTTGTTGCAAGAGGGAATACGTGTTGGGCATATAATTCAAGAAAATATCAGGGAAAAAATGAACTTCGTCGCAATACACGCATTGTGTTCGCGGCAAACTTTTTGCGCTCGTTACAAAGGCTTTTGATTAAAAACCTTGCGGAGCGGGATGTCCACGAGCGAGGATCCACGAGGGAGAGAAATCTCCTAATGGGTAATTCATTCTCGACGAAGGAACAAACGACAGCAGACGTCGCTGAAAAATATTCGTGGGGCCGACGATCCGAGGAATTTATAAGGGAATAGAACAGAAGAAGCTTCTGCAGGAATCGCAGATGATATCGATGCTATTCTCTTGCTATCTCGCTGCGCTTCTCACGATCTGATCCCCTTAAAAGTCATCGAATCACAAATCCCGTGGTTCAAAAATTGACGTGGTATATGTTCTTTCTATGCGATTTACCTGAGACCGGAAACGCCGCGAATCTAAATTGCAATTCTGCCTTCTATTGATGTTGATCGAGTATCCACGATGATCCATTAAGTTAATTACGACAGAAATTTTCGATGTCAATGATCGAGCGTCCGTCGACGTGTAGTGTAATAATTTTAACCCTTTGGATGCGACTTCCTCGTTTTGATTAAAATTAGTTCGTGTATTGACACGCACTGAGAGTATGTTAGACCAATGAAAAAAATAATTCTCAATAAATAGAACTTTTTAATTGCTTCGTATGAGATTAATTTTAAATTTAAAAAACTGCACTGTTGAATACGTTTTATTAATATTAATCCTTAAACGCTTTTACTGTTATTATCGGCTTTATTTTTCCAATGCTTTTTCAATGCTCTTTTCATTGCTTTCGATTTTTTCATTAATAAAGGTACGAACAAACATTTGTTTGGTACCGTTATGTCTCTAATGTCTGGCATTTTAATTTAATTGAAAAAAATTTTACAATATGTCAATTTTTATGAAAGTTACATGCAATCAATTTGAATTGGGTATGCCTGTACCGATCAATGTGCTGTTTCTGTAGTGTGGCGTTTAAAAGTTAACATGTGTAACAGTTTGTAATCACATAGAGAATATTTGTTTCTTTTTTATTTAAAATAGTTAATAATTTAAAATAATTAAAATAGTTAAACAAAAATAGTTGGTAATAAATATAATATAAATTTTTTGAAAGAGAGATACTTAAAAATTAGAGATAATTAAAAATTAGAGATAATTAAAAATTGTTCCATGCAAGAACTTAAATTACGCAGAATATCGCGACGGGAAAATTATTATTTAATTCGGCGCGAGGGCATCTCAGATACGTATCATAACTAACGTAACACGTGTACGTCGAGTGCAGTCAATGGATTTCCGTAACTCGGCGTAATGTTCTGAGATTACTCGCGCGGTAGCATCCAAAGTGTTAGTATAATCGCGTTAATTAGTCCGAGACACAGTCGGGCGCGATCTGATGATCTGAGCGTCTCGAGATCGATCGATAGTCCGTCTGATTTCACTACTGCCAGGATCTGAAGAGAACGCTCGACGAGAACAGGCCGACGAGGATCACCCAGGCGACGAGATCGAACGCGCTCCCTCTTGATCTGGCGCCGCCGTTCACGCAAGTCTCACGGATGCCGTTGATCTTCAGACCGCGGCGTCCCAGGAGATTATGAACGCCTCGTTTGTCGCTCTTCTGCAGAGTGTGCTCACGTGACAATAGGAGGGAATAGAGCTGATGGTCGGGAGTCCTAGAGCAGAAAGTCAACAACATGTCCGAGGCAACGGCCTTCATTACATGCACACTGCCGGAGAACTGCTTGTAGTCTGGCCTCTCCGCCAAGGTACCTGCAAATTAAATCAGAAGCCTGGTTAAAAGAAGTAAGCGAAGGGGTGCGATACGCAAGAGCGCGGATGGAAAGGGATGAAAAGGGTGAGAGGAAGAGGCCTCCCTATCGAATTTCCTGCCCTCGGCTTTTCGCGTCAGCTTCCGTCCGCTGCACGAAGTAGAATCTCTTGTACAAACGGAACTGTCGCGACTGTAGAAATAAATGTCTGTCGACGACAAGTCTATTTTTACGAAGTAGTTTTATCTTTGCGTGAAATGCTTTCGAGTGAAATAGGGAGAAGACTATACGAGATAGAAAGCAGGGACACTTTACAGGGTACTCACGGATTTTTGTTTCATATGAAAAGATGTGATATGAAAGATAAAAACTGACGAAATTGAAACTCTCCGTGTCTGGAGATTATTTAAAGATTCTAATTATCAAGCTTATTTAAAGAATGTAAATGTTCTTGGCGATGTTTAAATGAGAATTCTGAGATGTATTCGGTGAATTTATCTAGTAATTAGATTTAGTTGACAAATTTGACACGTACGTATTAATGACAGGAATGATAAATGAGACTCTGGCCCGTAAAGCTTTTTGAAATAGGCATCTAAGATATTGTCAGGATAGGATAGCGCGACAATGAAGAAGAATCGAACAAGCAGCGAAAGCTTGACTTTCCAATTTCCTGCTTCTACTGATATGGCGAAACATTATATAGTTCACTTATATAGAATATGTGCTATGGTTCTCTATATATATATATATAATATATAACTTATATATATTATCTCTCTCTCTCTCTCTCTCTCTCTCTCTCTTTCTTTTCTCTTTCCTTCTTTCCTATACGTGCGTATACAGTGGATAAAAAAAGCATTTGGCTATCTCGTTTCTTTTTTTGAAAAAATTTTATATAATAAGGAAAAGTGTTTCTATTATATATTTTATTCAGTATACTATAAGTAAAACATAATTTAATAAAAATACATTATGATATTACTTTCTTGCTGATATAAAATTTTTCCAAACAAGATAGGATGCGCAAATATTGTTTCACATATTGTACGTGTGTATACTGCACTATGCCAACGATATTAAAAACTTATTACATTTTCAAGTTTTGTATTGATACTTAACCTTTACGTGGAACCACTGCACTTAAAGGTATAGTGTTCTTTAAAAGCTAGAAAAGGAAAAGAAAAAGTAACATCCAGATGCCCAGAAGTTTTAGAATTAATTATTTTTACATTCCTTTACTTCATAACAGTATAATTAATGTAAATTTAATCGTAATATAGTGTACTAGTAAAAAATATAACTATAAAATTTAAATTGGTCTTAGAGTAAACACTTCATTTATTAACTTGCGTATTTTTTACTTCTAAAGCTCATTTTCACAATATATATATATCTAAAGATTAAAGGTTATCTCGAAATTCATGAATGAATTTCACTGATGAATCTCTTGGTAACTTTTAATCTTTAGATAACCTTATATTGTGAAAATGGGCTTTAAAAATAAAAAATACGCAAGTTAATAAATGGAGTCAAAACATTCCTCAAAAAATTTTAATTTTATTGTTATAAAAATCATCAATTTTTTTAGTATGTTATAATTACATTTACATTATATATATTGTTTCTTATAAGATAAAGGAATATGAAAATAGTAAACTTGAAATTCTTTTGGGCAATATTTTTATTTTTCTTTAAAGAAAATTATGATTTTGTGTGACACACTTCATATGAAAATGTGTTACACAAAATTGATATATCGTATACCGTTAAGCTTTTGAACTCAATTAATTTCTGTATAGTATTTAAGAAGTGATTAAGTAGCTTGGGTAATGAGTACGAGCATTGCGAAGCAATAAAAAGGCTGATACGAGTAATACAAAATTACAAAGAAGCCAAAGTGTTTCCTTTAGAAACTTCCACAGCGAGTAACAAATAGTGCACAATACCATTGAATTTAGTATCATTTATCACGGACTTGGCACTTTTATCTGAACACGTTTAATGGACTAAGTCGAGGCTTTGACAAATGTAAGTTGCAACCACTTCACCGGACCCCAAGACATAAACTCCAACCTGTGCAATGTTTAATCTGCAGAAATGTTTGATCTAAGTGAATTGACCAGAATAAAGTGCGATCAGTGTTTCACACTGGATGTTACCATGTGCTTTATATAGAAGACGTACAAAAAAAATTTTGATTTATCCTATTTTTCTATTTTCATTTATCACGCATTATTTTTCATGTCTTATAGTTTATGTACATTTTACTACGCAGAACGAATGATTTTGTTCTAATGTAAGAATCTAAAATTTATAATTGGACACAGAACTAAAAATAATTTTGTTTGGATCATCAAAATAACTATGTGACGCTTCAACTTGTTAGAAATGTTAGAATGTTAAAGCTTTTCGCAGAATTGTCGAAGCTTAAACGTTTTAAATAATTATTTTGATTTCAACAAAATTATTTTCAGATCTATATCTGCCAAAATTTTTGAATATTTTAGCAAAATTGTTTACTATGTTTACTAATGCACTTTCCATATATATTTAATTTGGTCACGATTATTATCTACGGATACAAATTGACTTGTTGACTAATCGAAATGATTTGATTACGATTCCACTTGCTGGCTTAGCAGTTCAAACGGATTCGATGATCATTCGTGACAACTCGAAATATACGGGTATGCCGTGGAAATACGCAGTATTACGGCTCATTACATAGTTGAGGACGTACTTAACGTTATGAAGGGAAATATACGGAGACGAGACGGCGAGCACGTGTACAATCTATATGCGCAATGTGCAGCGACCATAAGCGATGCATATAGGCATACCACATTTCGCAGGATCATCGCACGATGTTGGAAATATTTCACTAGAGATAGCACTTTAATACCGGCATTTAGAAGCATCCGTTACGTTTCCAACTAAACTTATTTACAAAACGGAGCGACCGATCTACATACTGTCGGATCAACCGCTAATCTTTAATGTAACTTTAATAAATTTTTAATAATTTCGAAGTTAATCGTTTTTAAAGCAAAAGTATCGAAAAAAGGTTGACCACATGACTTTCCAATTTTCTTACATTCTCTTACGCTTTTCAAATACATATACAATACAAGATGTAAAAAATTAAATAGAAGATTTTAAGAGACGATTCTCATATTAATTTAAACGTTTTCAAAATTTTCGAAAATTGTTCGGATCCTTTTAATGAAACTTTGTATATATAAAGATCATGTTTTAAGTATTTATTTTTTGGAAGACGTACATTCTTTTTTTAAATAAAATTTTTCCTTCAATTTTGATACTCTGATCTTTATAAGAGCTGTTTTGAGTATATAATCGTATATTTTCGTCTTAAATCGATGTGAGAAATTACTATTTAAAATCTTTTAGAATATTTAAGGACCATCTTGTATATATACGTAAAAAATAAAATGTTAATTTTAATTTAAAGTCGTACAATATTAAAATTAACATTTTAATTTCAACATTTTTGCATGTCTCAGAAAGTCTATTGTAGATCTTTAAATTAAAATTAACATTTTATTGTTTACATTGATATACACATACTTGAAAAACGTAACAATTTGAAATTTCAAGCATACCAATTTGGAACAACTTCAATTACCAGCACAGAGTGTAAAGCATTTTAGACACACACACGTGTGTGTGTGTGTGTGTGTGTGTGTGTGTGTGTGTGTGTGTGTGTGTGTGTGTGTGTGTGTATAATATTTTATACTGGTCACTTGTAATTGAAGTTGACCAAATCGTTAAAACGACGATGTTTCACATACATATGTAACATATCGATCATTGCCGCAAAACATTGTCGTACCCTGGCAATTCATTGAAATGACTCTCCGTTGAAACGGTTACGATTGACATTTACTGCGACTGGATTGTTCCGGCTGTTAAGCAAAGTGACGTAAATAGCGCGCAGGCAATGAAATCGAAAGCGCGTTGCTCATAATTACATCCATGATAGCAATTAGATGTTTATCTACTCGCGGCATTCTTCCCAATTGCACCAATGTCACGAATTATATTAAAACGACATGGTAATTGAAACGCATACGACTAATTGCATATGTCGCGAATGTATCAGGAACGTCATCGCCGTAATCGCTTCAGTCGATACATTGTCCTGATTACTATTCAAATTCGTTCCCATATAGCGCGACTATCATTACATTTTGCTAACTATCACTATGTATATCGCTGTTCTAAATTGAGCGATGAATTAAACGATGATTGCAATTTACTCCTCTCCATGCACGTAAACAATTATAAATTAACAGCTAAACAGTGTGCCTTACCGATAAATGAACAATCGCGTATATTAATAAGCAAATCAATTAACTGATTAGTCTAATGATTACATTCATTTCTCTCTCTTTCTCTCTTCTTCTTATCACAGTATTGTAACGTATAATGCAATTGTTTATATGTATTTTTTAATTAGTTCAAGCAAAATATGCTTTAAAAAGCATTTTTTAACATTTACAAGACGGAAAAGTCACTATAAATCTATATCTGTACTGAAACATTATCATATTTTAAGGTGAAAAATGTAACAAAAAAGAATCATGAATTATAACAAATCTCAATTAAGCAAAAGCTATGATTTTTAAAACAGATCCCCACCCTAACAAAGTTAAATTGATTTTCATTAAATTTTATTTTATTTAAATTGAATTGAATTTTCCATAATCTTTGATTATGCACTTTTACGTGTCATCTTCTCTCGCACAACTTTTAAGAAAGAATAAAACCATTTTTACCCGAGTTTTTACCTGAGTTTGAAAACTAAGTCGGTCGTATAAGCATAAGAAGATTTTTATCTTCTCTGGAAAGTTGTTCTGACCGCGTTTATGTATTAGATCTCGAATAGGCAGCACTTACATCCATACATTAGTCTCCCCAGAGTCTCGTCGTCGTCTCGTCAAGCGTCTCGTCCAGTAGCCGCGAAGTACGTCGCACGAG